GAAGAGTTTTAAGCAACATGTGACATAATCTGATGGGGGTTTTGTTTGGTAAATGCTCCTGGACAGGGTAGAATCGATTTCACAGGAGGCAGGAGTAGAGACAGGCAGAGCGGTGAGCGGGCTATTGCAGGGCCCTGGGCAGGAGACAGCGTGGGCTTGGAGTGCACCGTGTCGGTGGGGGCAGCAGAGGCAGAAGGTGCTGGAAGGATCTGAGATGCATTCTGGAGGTAGAAGCATGTTGGTGATTTGGGTGTGGTGAGGGAGAGGAAAGGGAGAGACCAGTGGTCACCTCCAGATTTCTAGCCTGAAGCCGTGTGTATACCGGGGCCATTTTCCAGGATGGGGAGGACTGAAAGAGGGTATTCATTCCTCCCTTCCTCCAGCTGGCGTTTCTTAAGCCCCCGAGAAAAAGGAAGAGTATCTGCACCGTGGGTTTACCTGGATTTCGGGCTCGGCCTCACAGTCCCTCTGGCCACGCAGAGGGACCGTGTGGAATTCAGGGTTGCCAGTGTATCAGTGGGGTTCCCTGTCCTGTTGATCCAGCTCAGACCTGGGCTCCTCAGATCATAAGGGTTTTTTAAAAAATCAAAATTGACCTGGAATTGACCAGAGATTCAAACAATAACAACAACAACATCTTTTCCTGTAAATCTGACTTAACTGTGATGAAAATCACACCAAAAGACCAAGGTTTCCTTTTCCCTTTGCCCATCAGGGAACTTAGCTGTCCACTTGCAGCTCGGCAGCCAACCGCGCATCTGCGGGGTTTCTGGTTTCTGTGTGGCATTCTGCTTTTCTCCTTGACGTTGCTCACCCCCACTAAACATCTGTCCTCGGTCGCACGGACCTGGATCCACCTGGCCCTGTCTGTCACTCCAGCCAGCTCTGACTAGACCAAGGGTGGACTCGGGATCCTCACTGAAAACAAGGGATGCAAAGCAAATGTGCCGCTGACAGCTGCAGTGGAGGCTGCGGGGTGCCAAGGCCCCCTCTCTCTCAGCTGCCAGGCGTTGGCTCCTGAAGGCTCTCAGCTGAGCACCTCTCTGCAAATTAACCCTGCACCAGCGCTGCCTGGCCCAAACTCAGAGCCACGGGGACAGCCCACATCCAAAGGCAGGATGGTCCCAGTACATGGGCCCAGTCCCCGTGGCTCCTGGGAGCCAACATTCCTGGGTAAACCCTTTGAGGGCAGGGCAGCAATGTCACACACGTCCAGGGTCCCTTCCCATGGTGTCCGATTGCGTTCCAGGGACTCCTCAAGTCACTCGGCGCTTTGGCTGCATCTGTGTGCCTTCTCCTAGAGCAGCAGGGCACGAACTGTGACCTCCTTTGTGTAAACCCAGCTTCACTGGGACGCAGCCCCTACCTTACGATGCATGTCCGAGCGCAAGGCATGGTGTGTACCACAGCCCCGTCGGCATAACCGTTCCCTGGGGCTGCTTTTGTGTTACAACGGCAGGACTGAGTGGTCACAACAGAAATTGGATGGCCAAGAAGAAAATCCCTAAAATTTTATTATCTGGCCCCCTCCGAAAAAGTTTGCTGACCCCCGTCCTAGAAACAAGAAATGAGATAAGGCCCCCCACTGAGAAGGCAGTTATTTCCTTCCCTGGGTTGGAGATTAGACTCACTGAGCACAAACCTGAGGGTCGGTGGGCTCAGTAAGCACCACCCCATAGAGACTTTACTGACATCAAGGCCCGTGAGTTTGCAAAGCACGTTCTCCGCCAGGCGCAGCACCCAGCACCTTACCTTCATGCGCTCGCGAACGCCTCTCCGTACCGCCGTGAAGTGGGAACACTGCTATTCCTATTGTGCACGTGAGGAAACTGAGGCCCAAAGTCGCACAGTGGGACTGCAGCCGAGCTGGGGCTCACGCCAGGTCCTTGCGGAGGCCAAGGTGCTGCTTCGGCGCTCTTCCCTGCTGCCTCCCATGCTGCAGACCGAGCAGGAAGGAGACCACCCCGGCTCCATGTAAGGCCGGTAGATTCGGAACAGGTGGGCTGGGGCCCAACGGGGTGGCTGTCTAAAAACACCCCCTGACCCGGAACGTGGGGCTGGGGTGCAGTGGGGAAGTCTGCCCTCAGGGAGGAAGATTCAGCCGCCAGACGACCAGAGTCCCAACCAAGGGCAAGAGAAGATGCCACCTGGAGCAGAGAGAACAGACCGACTTGACACCATCTGAACCCCCACGGGGGTGAGGGCGAAAGGTGCAGTGTTTGAATTCCAATATCAGAAATCTTAGGCAGGTTTGGTCCAGCTGCCCAGATGAAGACGTATCGCACGATAAACTAGCCCCTTTGTCCTCCTAAAGTGAAAAGATTATGAATCTTTTAGAGAGTTCTCTCCTCCCAGGCTACGTGCGGACACGTATTCAATTCTCCTGGTAGTGGTAACAAAACTTTAGGGAGAGAAGAGACGCCGTGTGGGAGGCCGGTGGTTATTATACAAAGAGCAGACTTGTCCACGTTCCGCTTGTAAGGAAGGGAAGATTGCACCTCGGGGAAATTAACCGGGTCCGAAAGAGGAACGGCCAGCTCCCCGGTCACTGCCCGATCACGTAGGAAGAAAAGCGCCCCGCGCGTTTTCTGGGAATCACTCCGCACAGTCGCAAGTTCACGCGTTCACGCAGGGCCATGGAGGCCACGTGAGTGATTCGGCGATCGGAGTGGCCTGAACCTTCCGTTTCTCCATTTCTCCGTTTGGCCAACTGTGCCGACGCTGCAGAGGCTCCAGGTTTGGGTGTGAAAAGCAGCGGCCTCCTCGTGCACATGGCCTGGTGGGCCCTTGCTCTGTGAGCGGACGACCACCCACAGGGCCAGCACCGCAACAACGGCCGCTTAGTCATCGTCGCCTCTGTCGCCACCTCTCAGTCTAGGGAAACCTTCCACCGACAAGCACTTCCGTCCCATCGCCTGGGTTCAATGTTTTTCCTAGTTATCACGAACCACGATGGACTTGTTTTCTTTTTTCATCGTCCGCCTGTCTTTCCCCCTCGACCAGAGTGGGTGGCCCTTAAGAGCAAGTTGAGGTCCGTCTCCTCCAATCCTGCATCGCCAGTGCCTGCCTCACAGCACGTCATCTGTGAATATTCAGTGTAAATTAAAGTTGTGTTTGCAAATAAACTGAAGTGGTTTGAAAACTTCATTTTCATTTTCCCGTCCAGTGTTTCTTTTCACATTGAGTTGGCCGCGCCGTCTTGGGTGTCCAGCTCTCACTTTCATAAAGCGGTTATTTATTTAAGACGTGTATCGAGACATGGTATGGCTCAGTGGTTTGAGTGCCAGCCCAGAAACCAAAGGGTCGCAGGTTCAATTCCCAGTCAGGGCACATGCCTGGGTTTCCAGCCAGGTCCCCAGTAGGGGGCGCACAAGACGCAACCACACATTGATGTTTTTCTCCCTCTCTTTCCCCCTCCCTTCTCCTCTGTCTATAAATAAATAAATAAATAAATAAAAGTCTTAATAAAATGCATCTTAAAAAAAAGACATATGTATTAGCACCTACCATGGGCCACACTGGTAACACCAGGCTTCCGTGTCAAGAATTCAATGGTGAGCAAAAGAGAGTGTCTACCCTGTGCTCTCTGTCTAGTTGGGGAAGGGGGGAATGCATATGAATGAAATAGCAATACAAGTGTGTAGTTACGACCTTGGTAAGTGGTGCGCAGGAAAAACTCATGCAGGACTTCTGAGGAAGTCATGTTTGGGCTGAGATTTGAAAGCTACGTTAACTAGCTGAGCTCACTAAGCGCACTTACTGAAGAGTGATGAGGGTGAGAGCCAGGAGCAGGGTAAGGACAGAATGAGGTTAGAGAAGGGCTTCCCGGAAAAAGGGACCAGCGTGTGCATGTGCTGTAGGATCGGGTAGACCAGGAGCGAGTCGATGGCTGCCCGAAACAGGGTGGAGACAAAGTAAGTGGGGAAAAGAAGGCAAATCGAGGGTCATTTAGAAGCTAAAGTGTCAGCACTTGGTTTGTCCTTTGAGGGCCATCTGGTGGCGGCAGGGGCAGGGACCCCAGCCTCCTCCTGGCTGGGTTCTTGCGGGGCCCTCCACGGCTAGCAAGCTGGCTTCCAAAGGTGGAAACGGCCACCGAGCGTCTGAGTGTGTGTACTGAGCAGGGACTGTAGACCGGTGAACAGGAGGCCCCGGGTGAGCACCTGCCTCAGTCAGCAGCAGGTGTGAGAACCCGGATTTAGGACTCGGGTGGGAGGATTTCTGGAGCCTTTGCATAGATTACTGAGGCCAGTCAGGTGTTTGTTTACAGGAGGTGAAGACCATGCAATTAGAAATATCCATTGTGTCCACCAGCACCCACGCTCAATCGGTAACTGTAGCTTTATGTAGCCCTACCTACAACCAGCCTCAGCTAAATGAGGAACATAGGAAACAATTGGCCCCAAGCATGAGCATCGTGGGTTTCTCCCCTCTTGATCAAAGAAAGACTCCAATGTAAAGGAAAAAAAGTAATTAAAAAGTAAAAACCTTATGTAATGAAATTTAAAGGGAAACTTTTGAAGCCAACAAGCAACTGCAGGCAATGCTTCAAAGGGCCCAGAATCAATGTTTGTCAATAGCAGTTTTGCATCTTTTAATTTCGCTTTCTTGCATATAAAGCGGGATGTGATTGGGAGCTCACCCCTGCCTTAATTCTGCCTGAGGTTCGATGAATCAGAACCGCTTAACATTCTGTGGGAATCAGCAATGTCAGAGGCCTGTGGCAGAGGCCTCCCCTGACTTGGGGCTTTCATCCTGCAGCTAGGATGCTCATTAACCAGCAGGCCTTCTGAACTGAACACCGGGCAGGCCCCCAGCTGCAGCCAGGGGCCGGGGGCTCTTTCTGTCTGCTACTGTCTTTGGAGGCTTTCCTCCCAGAAAAGGAACCACCCCATGACTCAGCCCAGCCCCAAAGCTACCATTTGTTTAATCAAGATAGTTGGTTTGCAAAACATTAAACAGTATTTGATGCCTAGTTAATAATTTGCATTCCCTTCATTTGTTCCTGAACCCTTGCAGACTGATATTCCCCATTCCCCCGTAAAGGCACTACAAGAAATTGTGTTTAGAGCAAAAGAAGGGTCCTTACGCTGCAGAGATGTTCGCCACAATGTCTGATCTCCGCGTTCTGCTGTTTGTGGTTCTGGTGGGACAGACAGCCTGTGGGGTAAGTGTTCTTTTCAAATACCTGGGGTTGAGAGACTCCAGGGTTATTAGGAAGACCAAACCAGCAGGGTCCGGAGCGATGAGAAATTTAGCTGTGAAAGGCTAGCGTGGTCGAGTCAAGTACATCTGAGGGCCAGAGCTGAGGTAGGCCTGTTTGTGCCGAGTGACGAGCTCCACAAAGCTGTGCAACTGACTTGAGCCCTCTTGGAAGAGTCTCCACGGACACCTTCCAAAGGAAGGGACGGGGTGAGAAACTCCACTAAGGCCGTGGCTCTCGATCTGGCACGGGTCTCACAGACCCCTTTGAGAAGCCAGTGAAAGCTGCAAACTCTCTCTGCACATGCTGACACACACCCAGTTTGCCAGCCATCTGGGGTGACCCCAGGGTGAGAATTCTTGTGCCTTGGCCCCGGAGGAGAGTCTCACTGGCTGCCAGGGGTCCTGGCAACAGGCTGACGTAGTTGGTGCGTTAGATTTGGAGAGGAGCTCTGTGTGCAGCATATTCTTTCTCCCCTCATCCTACGACCGTGACTGTCACGGGTGCCGAGGTGAGCAGGGGAGGAAAGGGACATCAGAGAGTCCCTCATGGGGAACTCGAGACATTTGGGAGCAGATGAGCTGTGGAGATGCCGGCTTCTGCTGAGAGCCACTGCGCCCGAGGGGGTCAGCTGGGTCTCTGTGGTCACATGAGTGGGACATTCCACAGAGAGAGAGCTTCCTGTCCTGGCTGGGGGGATCAGCTGGTTGGAGTGCCTTACCGTACACCCGAAGGTTGTGGGTTCAATTCCTGACCAGGGCTCGTGCCCAGGTTGTGGATTTGATCAGGGGTCAGGGGACGGAATGGAGGGGATGCTAACTGATGCTGATATTTCTCTCACACATTGATGTCTCTCTCTCTCTCTCTTCCTCTCTCTCTCAAAAAAAAAAATTGATGAACATATCCTTGGGTGAGGATAAAAAAGGAGAGAGGGAGAGAGAGCGGGCCTCCTGGAGTTCCACACTGGGTGTGGCTGGAGGCCCAAGGGTGGGTTGGGAGTCAGGATTGGCTCCCCCGCTTTGCCTAATTCCAGCTGCGGGATTATGGGCGGCGCCGTGATTTCTCTGAGCACTGGTTTCCTCTACTGCAAACCAAGTGATAATCTCCCCAGATTAGGGGAAGGTTACGATTGACTAAACAAGGCAACTCATGTAACGTTCACTAAGCATTAGCTCTTTCCCTTAAATTTCCAGAATGGACCCAAGTTGTCTGCAAAAATCAGAAAACATGCCCCTGGGTCAGGGCAGGGGCAGAGAGTGAGCAGGGATGAGAACCGAAAAAAAGAGCCACAACCTCTCTATTGCACTACATACTCATGCATTTTATTCCCCATTTTACTTCATTGGGCTTTTCCTGCAGGAATCAGATTAAATCCCAGGTTTTCTGATTAACACGCTTTAAAAACAAACAGCTCCCCTTTTGGCAAACTGTACTCAGAAGCCCACCTTAGCCCTGTCTTCAGCTGCCAAGTGACTGACCTCTGAGAGACTTTCACTTTCCAATGCCGACTTGCGCGCGTGTGTGTGTGGTGTGGCTACAATGACAAATTATTGTCAAGCTCTCCGCATCATTTGATTGCTTGTTGGATGTCTGGGGCCAAAATCCAGCAGAAATATCACAGATCTAAAGAAAAGCATGGAAATTATCATCAGAGGTCCACGGGGGGCCCAGAGAAAGTACCAGTCAGAAAGAATTAGGTCCTAAAGTTCGCAGGCAAGGAGACGGATTGATGCAGTCTCTTTGAAGTTCACAAAAAGATAATGGTCCCCCCAAATTCCCCCGCCTTTTTTTTGCAAGCCCCAGTGATTTTTTTTAGGGTTAGCGATGAAATTATAAGTCAATAAGGGATAAAAGAGAGAATATGAGAGAGGGCCTTCAGGCGATGAGCTTAGTCAATTCCAAGGAGAGGACCCGGGGCTTTGGAGCATTTTCTACCCCAGATGTGCGCCAGACAGGTGGTCGGGAAGGCAGCTTGCGCTTCACCGGCCAGTACACAGGCATCTGGGGGAGGGTGGCCAAGTTGCTCAGATGCTTTGGAGAGTTCGGGGCATCACGGGAGGGATGGCGGCACAGAGCAGATGGGTGGCCTCTCCTGCCCCAACTGCTTCCATTTAATGAGAAATCCTGTGTGCCAGGTCTGTGCTTCCCACAGATCAGTTCATCCCCAGAAGTACCCTAAGAAGTAGGTACTATTATTGCTCCCAATGTATAGATGAGGAGCTGGGGAACTTGGCCTTGAGTCATGTAGCTGGGAAGTAACCAGGCTGAGTTCTGGGTGATGGCTGGTGTCCATTTGTCTAGACTAGGTCTCCTGCCTGCACCCTGGCTAAAGATGAGATTTCTTCAGTCCACAGAGCTTCCGGATCCTGGTCCCTCCCACAGGGACAGGAGGCTCTTAGACGAGGGGACTGTTTGGTAGGTGGAGTGTCAAGAACCCCATATGCCTCTGAGAATGGAGAGAAAACCAGTCCCAGGGTCTGTGGTGGCTACCCACTGGAAAGGCCCCCGTCACGCCTCCATGAACTCAGATCATGCAGTGAATCTCCTAAAGGTATCTCAGGCTCATCTTCAACTCCGATTCTTACTCAGGTATTGACCACCCAGAGCGGTCTAGATCAAATACCATTGCAGTGGACACGGATCCATTGGTAGGGCCTGCCTGGTCTGCTCTAGATTTGTTTGTCCTTACTGGTCAGTTTTGAACGCCTGTCCCCAGCACAGTCTTGCATCGTTATCCTTGTTTTATGGGTGGGAAACCAGCCCAAAGTTGGTAGATCAACTTCCCAGCCAGGATTGGGACCCAGGTCTGTCTGGCTCGGCACGCTGATTTCCTTTCGATTGCTCAGCAGCATTTGAAAATCAGAACATTTCGCATAAAAATACAAATCTCTGAGCCTTCTTGAAAACCAGACATCCTAGTGACAAAGAGTTCACCTCCCTGCCTGGCAGTGAGGAGAAGCTGCTGCTCCTATTGTTAGAAACTTAAGCCCCATTATTCTCGACCCTCGACACCCTTTCTGCCTGCTTGGCGCACATTATCTGCCTGGTTTTACCTTGGAGACACAGAGAGAGAAAGACAGAGAGCGATCCTGCCTGGCGGTTGTTCAGTAGCACCATAGCTGTTGAAGTATCGGGGCCAATTTTGGATGGTCAAGAAAGTGGGCTCAGCCTCTGATTAATTCAAGCACCCAAATCTTCATGGCCCCGAGTACGAAGAAGGCCTCGTATGGGTAGGTACGAGCCACCTTTGTAAAGCCTCGATGCTCCGGAACGTGTGTCTCTACAGGCTCAGGAGACATCCCTCCCTCTTGCTGTAACACACCATCTTATGGAGAAGAGATGGACTGAATTTCACAGCACCTTCTTATGGGTTTTATTTTTAATGGAGCCTGTGCATGAGCCCAACTCATTAGCCTCGGCAGGGCACACAGCTGTTTAGGGAAATCAGCTCCCAGGAAGTGCACCCAGGCACAGACATCATTGTATTTTAAATTCATTAGGGGTCCCCAAATGCACAAGCCATTCTGCTGTCACAGGGAGACGGCACGGCAGAACATTCGGCAGCGGGGATTTTAAATAAAACATGCTTTTTCTTCATAATTAATATAACAAGTTTCCTGGCTTAGGACTTAGGCAAAGATCCCAGGTTAAAAAAATACAGAAAAAGTTGTGGTGGGCGGGGAGGGTAGAGTGACGTGAGTGTGACCCAACAAACAAGTTCCAGGAAGAGTTTGTGGTGCCACATGTGCTGTTCTCAATGGCTCCTCGATTTGCCAACGTCCATAAGTAAAACATTTTTTAAAAATCAGCTGCTATTAGTCATAATGGTCATCGTAACAGCAACCATTTATCAGCCATTGCGTGCTTTAGGCTTGTGATGTCATTAAAGCTTCCCAACAGCCCAGTGAGGCAGCAACCACCGCCATCCTCACTCTGCAGAACGGGAAGGGTTCCCTACCCTGTCTGTGCCAACCACCTAAGCTCCAGAGGGGGTGAGTGGTCTGCCAGAGGGGGCATCCCTGGGCCTTTTCAGAGCTGGGGTTCAAACCCAGGTCCGCCAGATGCCAAGCCCCATGCTCGTGAGCACTGCGGGAGAGGTCACCGTGCCAGGCTCTGCCCGAAACCAGTGTGGCCATTCAAGGGGGTGCAAAAGTCATCAGAAGTGTCCGTGGCTGAGACTCTGGCAGCAGGTAGGAGGCGACGCAGCTCCTCTCCCCGGAGGCTCCTTCAACAGCCCCTCAAGCTTCTCTTTTCAGCCCCAGACACAGCGAGTCTCGTCAGACAGCTGACTGGCTAGTTCCAGTGCTTTCGAAACTTCCATCATGCCTGAATCCACCTTCAGAAACTGTGTCAAAACCCAAACTAGTTTCTTCGTACTTTTGTGAAACCGACTCACCTTTTCTCTAGCCAAATAGACGCATTTTAAAAAGGGAACCGTCGAAACGATAAATGGAAAAATCAAAGAACACAAGACAAAACAATGTCATTGAATTCTAACTGGCTACAGTTCTCACCCGAAGCCCAGAGCCTGAAGCCTGCTTTCTCCTTGGTGGAAGGGGAGATGAGGAGAGGGAGACAATTCACCAGCACCATCCGACTCTTCCTCTGAGAGGGGATTGGAAGGGCTCTCGGTAAAACTGAGAAGGAAATGACTTTTTACCTGTGTGTTGACGGTTTGTCACACCCTGGCCAGGAGCCTCCCAAAGCAGCTTGGGTGTCACCGGGGGTTGATGTCCTACCCGGTGGGAAGCACAGGGCTGAGGACGGCCTCAGGGGCGGAGTTGGTTCCCCTGGAGGTCAGATTCTTTCTGCAGCCCTGGGCTGTTTGCGGAGGTGGATCAGCCAAGCAGGCCAGTGCAGGGGCTTGTGACTCATGCTTTTGTTTTGTTCGCTCCTTTGCCTTTTCCAAGGGCTTCCAGGTGCGTGATCACATCCAGAAATGAATGTTGGCCTGCATCCAACCC